TCCTCTACAAGGAGCAAAATGTTAGATCACAAAAACATGTCAGCCGCGTGTTTTGGAGAGAGCGGGATTTAATAATAAATGCTCCCGTTCTGGCGGAGATTTTTGGCTGCAGTTTCTTGTCTGCAGTTTTTTTACTTTTTCCCTAAAACTAGTATTTTTGTGCTTCATGTCGCTGACACTTTGTCTCAGGCAGCTGTAGGTCTTGTGATTTGCAGTTTGTAGTGGTGTTGTGTGCTGCGGGGGCCTTTTGGAAATGTCTGATGTTTGCGCTTTGGAATTCTATACCCTTTTATCCTTTTTCAGGTTGCAGATCCTTCTTACCATCTGAGATTTTAAAAATGTTAAAGCGATCTCCCATTGCATCATCCTCAACCTCCTTCCCTTCCATTGCATCATCCTCAACCTCCTTCCCTTCCATTGCATCGTCATCACCCTCCTTCCCTTCCATTGCATCGTCATCACCCTCCTTTCCCTCCCATTGCATCGTCATCACCCTGCTTCCCTCCCATTGCATCGTCATCACCCTCCTTCCCTTCCATTGCATCGTCATCACCCTCCTTTCCCTCCCATTGCATCGTCATCACCCTCCTTTCCCTCCCATTGCATCGTCATCACCCTCCTTTCCCTCCCATTGCATCGTCATCACCCTCCTTCCCTCCCATTGCATTGTGGATGGTGGGTGTGAATAATCAGGCCGGCTGTGCAGAATTTTTTTTTTTTTAAAGGGTTTCCAAACCCAAAAACACAAATGTCGTATATTGGAGTGTACCGGTCCTTAGATGTGGTGGTTGCATAATTTTCTTTTTCCAATACAGAAGTACAGACAATTACCTGTTAATCCTGCCAGAAATCCGGTGTCCTTGTCACTTCCTGTGAGCTGAGCTGATCAATCAATGTGATCAGCTTTCCCATCTCTCTTCTGTGGACTATAGAAGGTACCCCTTATGTTCTAGGAATCAGGAGAGGGGTCGCAGTTTTAGTCTTAAAGAAGAACTCTGGGCATTTTAAAAGCTAACCCTTGCAGTAGGGCTACCCCTGCACTGCAAGGGTTAAGTGCTCATTTTGGTCTAGGGGCTGGAATACAGAAGAAATAGTCACCTGATCCTCAGTCCAAACCTCCCTTTTAAAATCCGCACAGAAATCGTGCCAATCCGCAACCGCCCTGGTGTGAATGGGGCCTAACGCAGCCACCACGTCTGTACCATTCACATATCTGTGTTTGAACCATCTATTTACTTGTTGCCTTTTAGCAGTTTGCCTTTTTATACATTGTTGCTGCATTCTTGACACGGTTTCGCAGTAGGGTTTTTTATAGACGTGCGTTGTTGACTCTCCACCAGCACACACAAAACATCTGAAGTTATTGGCTTTGTGTCCCGGCTACACCCCACAGCGCTGCCAGCAAGTTGAAAGTTATTCTGTGCTTTCAGATCATTGTCCATGAGAAGTGTGTGTCGTCTTCTGTGGGATTTGCGTCCATCACCCAGATGCTGTTGCTTTTGTTTACATGGTGAGGCAGATCCCAGATCGGGATTGGCTAAAATCAAAAATTGCATTTGGAGCCTTTCCGGCTCCTTTTAGTGGAAGATGTGCTCCCAAGCTGTTCTAAGCTTCATCCACATGGGCTCTAGGCTTGTGTACACCGGCCCCGTCGGGCAGCGTTGGTGAACAAAAAAAAGGTTATGTTGGGTTTTACGCAGTGTAACGCACCATAAAACGCTGCCGTTCAAAAATGAAATAGAAATAGGAAAAGCAAGCACTGCATGGCAGCACGCGTGTGCAACACACACCAGCATATGTGCATGCATTATGCCAAACAAGATAGACCGGAAGATGTCGGCACTGGCATGGGCGAGTTTACTTCCGCTATAACACTTTTAAGGGCTAGTGTGAATGAGCCATTAGAGCAGGGGTGGGCAACTCTGGTCCCCCAGCTGTGCTTTAAGTACAAATCCCAATATGCCAAAGGGGAGTCATGCCTGTAAAGCCTCATTCACACAGCGTAGAGTGGGGCCGTGCAGATGTGTACGGCGATATCGGGCCGTTCCCGGGAAGGACAGGTGCTGCGCGTGATTGTACACAGCAGCCTGTTCTTCCCTATGGGAGGATGCAGCCGTACGCCGCTCTTCACTCACCTGAGCTGCACATCCGTGCGGGTGTCAGTGCTCGGACGTAGACGGGATCCATCCTGTCTGAGTACGGACCACCGCACCCGCACGGATGTGCTTCTTTGGTGCGCGTATGACAGCGTACGGCCGCATCCTCCCATAGGGAAGAACAGGCTGCTGCGTACAATCACACACACAGCACCTGTCCTTCCCGGGAACGGCCCGATACGGCCGTACACGCCTCACAGATCTGTACGACCCCACTCTATGCTATGTGAATGAGGCCTAACTGTCAGTCTTGCAATGCCTCATGGGACTTGTAGTTCCACAACAGCAGCTTCCCCCATCCCTGCCTTTAGAGGGAGATGCCTGGCATACGGTTGGTATGTATTCCTGATGCTTGCTGGGCACCCTTCAACTCTGGGTTGGAAACAGTTAAAGTGTATCTATAGACAATTGTTTTGTTTTTTTTTGGTTTTGAATTTTTGGCACAGTAGGGAAAACTTTTTTGTTTTTGTTATTTGCGAAAATTTCCTGTTCCTGTTCCAATATTTTGGGTTTCCCTTTTGGATTGATCAGCAAGTTAAATAGACAATGTTAATCTCCCCAGCAAGGACACATTAAGCAATACAAACCTGACAGGTTCTAACTCTTAACCACTCTAAGCACTTTGACCCGAGAGGACTCAGACAGTGTGCGGACGCCCGGACCCTCACCGATGTGCAAGTTCGGATGTGGGTATGAAGGCGTACAGCCTCATCCTCCCATAGGGAAGAACAGGCGCAATCACACGCAGCACTTGTCCCTCCCGGGATCGGCCCGTCTAAATGAGGCCTCAAAGAAAGGTTTTAAATATTTCATCTGACATTTTATATTTCCTTACTTAAAAGAAATGTACTAAAATGTTAATAAAAAAAACAGAAAACATCCAGACAATCCCGGTACATTGTGGTAAGGCCGGTATGACTCCCTATGTGCTGGTTGACACTGTTATCTGTGACGCTAGCGTTTACATTTCACAGATGTTGGGCACATAACCGGCCGCTGGTTAAACATTTACACCCATCTGGTCAGGATTCACCCAGCAGTGAATGATTTGCTGCTAATTGACCACCTGCCTATGGGAGGGAATTGGCATTTACATTAAAAAAAAGGCAGATTAACCACTTAGGGTCCAACTAATGTATACTGTAAATGGATCGATCGAGTGATCATTTTTTTTCCCTTTTGTATTAAAACTTACCTCCAGACACAAAAACCTTCATTTCATTATAGCATTATTCATAGTTCCTAATAGCAACAAAGGATATAAATGCACTGTGTACACCAAATGCCTTTGCGACCTTGTAAACTGTATTGTGTGCCATCATGAATCGTAATAACATGAATCATGATGCTCTTTGTGACATAAGTTATGGTGTGTAAACGAGCCCTTAGTCTCAGCATAAAATTAGTTCTGCGCATAAAATGCACGTTTTTATGCACTTTTTTTCCCTATGCATGGTTTGTGCGCGTATTGCACATTTTCAGCGCGTTAGATATGAATAGGCAAAGACGCACGTTTTCTTGAGCAGATCAAGATGCAGTGCTCTGAATGAGAACGCACACAGAAATGTGCAAACCGCTTGTGTCGCGCATTTTCATGCACCATTGAAGTCTATGCAGCCAAACATGCTGTAATCTGCCCGAAAGAAGCTCATGTACCTTTTCCAGCATTCGGCGTTTTATAGCTTGCAACAAAACTCTCAGATGTCAACAGGGGCCATAGAAATGAATGGTATTTGTTGTGTTGAGAGTTTTGTCGCACTTCGCTTTGAGCATCAGAACACAGAGGTGTGAACAGGGACTTACTCGATGACCTTTTCCTGTTCAATATTTTTATTGGATAATACAAAATACAGAATTGTGGAATTGTTAAGACAACAGACCAGACACAAAGGTCTTGAATGATGGTTCCAGTAAGCTGTAATAGAAGTGTCAGACTGAACTTGTGCAAAGATCTGATCGATACGTTGTCAGTTCTGTCCGAGCTGTGTTCACTGACGGGTTGTTCGTGGACACAACTCAAAATTAACAGTAGGTAGAAACCGACAATAGAAGAAGTAGTAAGAGGGAGAAGGGAAGGGAGAGTACCTGAGAGTACCCTGAGAGTACCACACGGACACCTTTACACTACGAGGAACCCCAACAACTCATCAGAAATAGGCTTAGGGGATCCCACGGCTCCCAGAGGGCATGGTCAAAACCAGGCAGTAGGCATTTATCTATCCATGGCGGCCATATTTTAGTATATTTAGGGACCCTGTCCAATATTGTCGCCTCAAATTGTTAATGGATCATAGCCTTAGCAATTCTATTTTTGGCTTCTAGCAGATGGAGTACTGGTAACCGCCAAGCCTTTGCTATAGTTTGCTGAGAAGCTGTAAGACTGGATGACATTTTGTTTGCTCTTTGTACCGTAAACAGTTGCCACTTCTTTTTTTTCATCCTTTTTGCCATCTCAGTGCTACTGATCTTCTCCACCCTCTTTCAGCTGCTTCCTGTGTACATGCATTCTCTCCAGAGTTGGCTGCACGCCATTGCTCTGGACCAGCTTCCTGAAGGTGACAACAGTGGATGGCATGCCTGAGGAATGTGTGACAGGGTGACAACGCAGTAGTAAAATTGGGAGACATTTGTCACCCTATAACAGGAAGTGCCTGAACAAGGATCTTTTATGAAAGGATCACCAGGGCTTATTTTAATGAACACTGGAGATTTAAATATACTGAACACAACTTTTCGAATGAGATTAATGTTAATATGCTTATATGAGTTTTTAGTAAATCTAGCATGAGGGGTTTCTAATTGTTTTTTGTTACAATCAATATCTGATATATCTTTGTCTTACAGGTTAATGGACATATCTCAGGTACTGCTGACATCTACCAGGAGCGTCTGGGCCGCCTGGAGAATGACAAGGAGTCACTAGTGCTGCAGGTACCGAGATTTGCGATAGCTCACTATGTCTTTTTGTGTCCCTGTTTACAGTCCATATAAAGATGGCAGCTGGGAGGCCATCTTGTCCTCCCTTTCAAGAGCTGAACTTACACACAAGTTTGAGCTCCTTTTGTGTTTTAGTTTATTTTTTCCAGTCTTGAAATGTTGGTTCTTGGGGCATTGGGTGAAGCCTCCTTTGTCTGCTGTGGCTGGATCACCCAAGACACAACCCCCTTCCCCATGGAATTCACTATGGACAGTTGACAATCAGCCATGGTGGTGAGATTTTCAGACAGGCCCGAGGATACCACACTGGACACCCCTGCTATCCTAGGCGGCGCAGACTGTTGTGGGCTACCCAATCCTACATTGACCTGTTTAGCAGGTCAGTTGCACCATAGATGAAGCTATTTTGCGTCTTGGAAATCTTAGTAGCTGAATGGCAGTTTAGTCCCCAGGAATAAGCTTGTTCCCTACTACTTATTGTGAAGGCATTTGAAACTGGAATTGAGTTTTGTCATTGACATTTCCCATCTCCACATCACACAGGTGAGCGTGCTGACTGACCAGGTAGAAGCCCAGGGTGAAAAGATACGAGACCTGGAGTTCTGCCTAGAGGAACACAGAGAAAAGCTTAATGCTACAGAGGAGATGCTGCAGCAGGTGAGAAGGCGCCCCCTTATGGGGAGGGAAGTTATATACTGTTTGGAGGAAGTCTGTGCACAAGAGACCTGTGCGTGCCTGTTCCTGCTGACCCAAATACATATCCATATCTTGTACCTACAACCTGTCCTAAACCTAGTTTTGCTTTTGAATGGTGCGAGATACTGTTGACCAGTACAAGAGTCAGTCATGTTAGATGCATATTAAATGTCATGTTGAATAGTGATCGCGGGTTTCAAACTGCTAGAGACTATTGTCAAGGTATTGTCACCTGCTATATCCTTCTGGCACCTTGCAGGAGTCTGCTGCAAGTTAGCAGCTTAAAGGAGGATGCTAGGGACTTCTGCCAGCTTACAGGAAAATGTTAGAGACTGATATGAACTTGCAGGAGACTGGTGCCAATTTGCAGCATGCTGCTAGAAGCTTCTGCCAACTTGCAGGTTACTGCTAGCGACTGCTGCCAACATGCTGGAGGCTGCTGCCAGTTTGCAGAATGCTGCTAGCGACTGCTGCCAACTTGCAGGTTACTGCTAGCGACTGCTGCCAACATGCAGGGGACTGCTGGAGGCTGCTGCCAGTTTGCAGAATGCTGCTAGAGACTGCTGCCATCTTGCAGGGGATTTCTAGAGCCTTCTGCCAACATGCAGGATGCTTCTAGAGGCTGCTGCCAACTCTCGGGTGCTGTTAGAGGCAGCTGTCAACTTGCAGGGGACTGCTAGAGACGGCTGTCAACTTGCAGGATGCTTTTAGAGACTGCTGCCAACTCTCAGGTTACTGGTAGAGACTGCTGCCCACTTGCAGGTTACTGGTAGAGACTTCTGCCAACTTCCAGGTTACTGGTAGAGACTACTGCCAACTTCCAGGTTACTGGTAGAGACTACTGCCAACTTCCAGGTTACTGGTAGAGACTGCTGCCACCTTGCAGGTTACTGGTAGAGACTGCTGCCACCTTGCAGGTTACTGGTAGAGACTGCTGCCACCTTGCAGGTTACTGGTAGAGACTGCTGCCACCTTGCAGGTTACTGGTAGAGACTGCTGCCACCTTGCAGGTTACTGGTAGAGACTGCTGCCACCTTGCAGGTTACTGGTAAAGACTGCTGCCACCTTGCAGGTTACTGGTAAAGACTGCTGCCACCTTGCAGGTTACTGGTAGAGACTGCTGCCACCTTGCAGGTTACTGGTAGAGACTGCTGCCAACTTTCAGAGGACTGCTGGAGACTGCTGCCAACTTGCAGGTTACGACTAGAGACTGCTACTGCTTTGAAGGAGACTGCAGAAGACTGCTGCCATGTTAGCAAAGACTAATCCTTTTTTGCTATGTTACAACATAACATGATCACAAATGTTAGTGAACCTGGCATGAACACAAATATGCCCAACTAGCACAAGGTCATATCTGCACTCAATGGAAGGTCAATGTTGAAACAATTAGTTGCTGGAAAAAAGTTTTGTGCCAATGGTGGGTCATTCATAACCAAACAATAAAGCCCAAAAACCCAACCGTAATCTAAATAAAGAGATTGGGATCAGAGGGACAGTGACAGGCCGCACTAAGCGCATTCTTGGACGGACGGTGATGGAGGATCTCTCTTCCAAATGAGGGGCCCAGCCTTTTCTCTACATCCAGATACAGACAGCAGAGGCTCCCTGAAGCCATGCTGAATAATAACGATGTGGTGTGGAGCCCGAGGTTTCCCAGTGACCTAGAAAACTTTCGGTAAACTTGTATCCTAAAAAGTTCGGAAATTAACTTCTCTGTGTTTTAGCCCCAGTCACACCTGAAATATATTTAAGTAGAATGGCCAGAAATCTTTACCCCGCGGACATATTGTCAGAAAAGTCGACAACATTTATTAAACAAAGGTGCCCGTTTGAGACTGAACCAGGAAACTAAAACTCCCATTATGCATTACCTGCTATCCGTGTTTGCTCTCAAGTGGAGGGTTCAGCTACAGACCAGTGGCGTAACAATCGCCATAGCGACCCAGGAGGCCACTATGGAGCCCGGGCACAGGGGGGCCCCGCCTGGGTCGCTATGGCATGTGGGGGTGCTGGCTGTCACAGACACAGCTCAGCAGCGGCCACGGCACATTTCCCCTCATAGCCGCTGCGGAGCTGTGTCAGTGACAGCCAGCCGCTGCGGCAGATGAGGGCGGTGTTCGGAATGGAGGAGGCGGCGCCCGCCTCCTCTTACATCACTGGCCAGCGACCTAAGAGCAGGTGGGGCCAGTGATGTAAGAGAAGGCGGGGCCCGTCAATAGCAGAGGAGGCGGGTCCCGTGGATGGAACAGGGGTCGGGTCCCGGCGACCACAGAGGCGCTGACAGGTAAGAGATCTCAGACCCTTCAGAGCCCACTATAGAGAGTCTATGGTGGGCTCTGCAGGGTCACTCTCCACTGGGGCTCTGCAAGTGGCATAACTAGCAATCATGGGGCCCAATACAAAATTTTGCTATGGGGCCCTGTGATTTCTAGTTACGCCCCTGCTACAGACACATAATATTCGGGGGTCAGGTATTGGTTCCCTAGCGGTACCCGGCTCTCTTTATGATCTGCTGGATAATGTAACCCTCTGATTATTGTTTAGGAACTCCTGAGCAGAACTACACTAGAGACACAGAAACTTGATCTAATGGCGGAGATTTCTACTCTGAAACTGAAGCTGACTGCGGTGGAAAATGATCACACGGACTTTGAGGACAAATACAAAGACACAGAGGTAAGCGGGGACTAACCAGCCAGCCGATATTGACTAGTAATTGATTATATAGCACCCTTTTCTTGCGTAGTGCTGCAGACGAGGGTCCATATTATAGATATAGTCAGTGATGGACAGAGTTGCCAAGGGCTCCCTGTGTCTTTCATTTTCGGGCCCTCCATTAAAATACTGGCCAATAAAAGCTCACTGTGAATCTACTGACAGCTAGATATATGGTACTGGGAAGGGCTCCAGCACCCACCTGACCAACATCTAGTATAAATGGGTCCCTAAGGGCAGCTACACACTCTGTAAAGATGGTATGTCTGCCTCTGGAATGAACAGGTAAATAGGATTACTCTGGGGAAAAAAATGGCAGAACCATATCAAGATGCAATATGACAGAGAGCCTTGTCCATGTGATCTTGCAATACACGGCTAAGGCAAGATACCATAGATTGTCAACGTTGGGGCAATATGTTGGCGCCCACTGGCAGTCTCAGGGCTAATGGATGTCTACACAAGGGAGCTGTTTACAGGTAAATAACATGCCTAAAATACATTGAATGCCTCTGTAATCTTATGGAAGATTGTTGTTGAAATAAATAATCTGGTGACAGGACCTTTTTAACTCTTATAGACGATATTATAATGAATAAGGCCTTCTTTTCTCCCTTTCTGTCCTGACTTCCCCGTTGTTTGCTTTCTCTCCCCGTCTCTCTTTCCTCCGTCGTTCAGTGTCTTCATAAGACAATAACAGAGTTGAGGCAGCAGATGGAAAAGCTGGAGGTGGAACTGGCATTGTTTCAAGAAAAGAGGTTACAATATGGGGATCAAGAGGTGACGCGATGATGCGGCAGCTTGTTGCATGGTGTTGGGTTGTAATCTCAGGATTGTTTTAACCCCCAGCATGCTATGGCTGCCATCTTCTTCCATGAAGAAGCCTTGTAAAGTGCTCTTTGGTCTTCAGTAAGTAGCGCCCATTGTTCGTGCCTAACCAGCGATGGCTCTTTCCGTCCTTCGCTGTGACTTTATGCATAGAAATAAAACAACAAGTTTTGTTGGCCATATCGAACCTTTTGCTCACCCATGATGCACTGGAATCACTGTATCTGCTTGCTGTTGCCAACAAGGTTTGTTCCTTCAGGCATTTTTGGTGGCCCTCACTGTGCCAACCCATAGTGTATCCCAATGCCAACTTTTTTTTTTCTGTGACAGAGTGAGGTAGGGCCAGAAACCCTTTTAGGCGTCTGTGACACCAATGGGGAGATTTACTCTCGCTGCCTTTCATGACTGGATGTTATAATAAAACAGCAAAAAGACACTTTGAAACAGAGGGTTCAAACTTCTGTTAGATCATTATTACTGTCGGTCTCTACCTGTCCCGGTGACAACCGCTCTCCTCATCATCCTGAAAATGAGGGTAAATCCCAAATTTTGGAGATGTTAACAGAAAAAGAGGTGAGGGGAAATCTTCCAATAGGGACACCTATTCCAGTTTCAACTTCCCCTAGAATAGGAATTCCCCTCACTTTAGGATATTTCCATGAACCTTCTATTGCATCTCTGGAACAGGAAGTAAAGGAAGTTTCCCCAATGGCAAACAGAGGGCAAAAAATAACCTGGCATGGGTATTGACCCTTCTCTACTCTACTTCTCTACTGTACCCAAGACTAAAGGTACAAAATACAAAGCCATACTGGGGCATGTACAACATCACAAGGACAGGAAGGGAGTTGAACTCTTCCCAGGTTTATCCAAAACTAACACGGATTAGCTGAAGGTTAGGTTAGGGACCAGCAGGTCTCAAATGCATGTTAAAGCACCTGTTTTGGGGTAGCTTATGAGTCACAGTTGTACCTACCCTAGTATTGCTTTCTTAATGCCCCTACCGACAATCTACCAGGTTGTTTTTTGCCATCTGTGTTGGGGAAACTTCCCTTTTACTTCCCGTTCCAGAGATGCAGCAGGAAGTTTAGAGGAAATCTGAACACAGAACAGGTGTCCGCATTGGGAGATTTCCCCTCACCTCTTGTTCTGGGTACTACTCTAAAATGAGGGGTTTCTCCTCCCTTTCTTTATTGATGACAATGGTCATCAGTACAGATAGGAGTTAACCTCCCCCAGAAGGTACACAGACAGCAATAAAAACTGGCAGAGGGTCTATAACTCAGGGGCAGGCAGCCTTGGCGCTCCACCTGTGCTGAAAATACTAATCCCCTCATGCCTCTATTTGGGAGTCATGTTTGTGGCTGTCTGCATCTTGCAATGCCTCATGGGATTTGTAGTTCCACAACAGCTGGAGTGACAAAGTTGCCTGCCCCTGGTCTAACCCTGCCGTACTCTATCCAAAACTGAACAAAAGCTTTCGCCTAGACATTCACTTTAATGCCACAAAGTCCTTCAGCCCCTTACATCTCCACTCTTATTTCCCATGTCCCAGGATAATCTGGCACCTGCAGTTGGCTCCAAATCTCTTGTCAGACTGCTAACCTGCTGAAATCCAGGCGTGCCATTTCCCATCTGTCTGTAATTGGCCAGTTATCAGGTTTTGCTATGTAGAAGTGAGATTTATTAACTGCCACGGCTACCTTTCCAGTGTGCATGCTGTGTGGTAGGGTATGGCAGCAATACAGATAACAGAAGCGTACAGATTTTCGTTACCTCTGACCTCCGCTCTGTGATGTCGCTGCAATATGGAGCGGAGCTCACTAATTCTTGGCATGTTCAGAAATAGTAGTGTGTCACCACGCTTGGGGATGAAACTCACTGATACTGCTGCCTTCGTTCAGAAATAGCTCTTACTGATGTGTGCAAATTGCATGGTGGATGCCGATTTAACTGCCACTTCCTCCCCTTTGTGTGCTGAAATTAACACACAGGCTGTATAGTGTTCTGCTGTGACATATCCTACATATTAATGACATCCCAGTGTGGAATGGCCATCAGACCGCGCTCTCTCTATCTCTCTCTCTCTCACTTACCTCTCTCGCTTATCTATCTCTCTCTCTCTTACCTCTCTCACTTATCTCTATCTCTTACTTACCTCTCTCGCTCTTTCTCTCTCTCTCGCTCTCTTTCTCTCTCTCTCGCTCTCTTTCTCTCTCTCTTTCTCTCTCGCTCTTTCTCTCTCGCTCTCTTTCTCTCTCTCGCTCTCTTTCTCTCGCTCTCTCTCTCGCTCTCTCGCTCTCTCTCTCTCTCTCTCGCTCTCTCTCTCTCTCTCTCGCTCTCTCTCTCTCTCTCTCGCTCTCTCTCTCTCTCTCTCGCTCTCTCTCTCTCTCTCTCGCTCTCTCTCTCTCTCTCTCGCTCTCTCTCTCTCTCTCTCGCTCTCTCTCTCTCTCTCTCGCTCTCTCTCTCTCTCTCTCGCTCTCTCTCTCTCTCTCTCGCTCTCTCTCTCTCTCTCTCGCTCTCTCTCTCTCTCTCTCGCTCTCTCTCTCTCTCTCTCGCTCTCTCTCTCTCTCTCTCGCTCTCTCTCTCTCTCTCTCGCTCTCTCTCTCTCTCTCTCGCTCTCTCTCTCTCTCTCTCGCTCTCTCTCTCTCTCTCTCGCTCTCTTTCTCTCTCTCTCTCTCGATCTTTCTCTCTCTTTCTCTCGCTCTCTCGCTCTCTTTCTCTCTCCCTCGCTCTCTTTCTCTCGCTCTCTCTCTCTCGCTTTCTTTCTCTCGCTCTCTCTCTCTCGCTTTCTTTCTCTCTCTCTCTCGCTCTCTTTCTCTCGCTCTTTCTCTCGCTCTCTCGCTCTTTCTCTCGCTCTCTCTCTCTCGCTCTCTTTCTCTCTCTGTCTCGCTCTCTTTCTCTCTCTGTCTCGCTCTCTTTCTCTCTCTGTCTCGCTCTCTTTCTCTCTCTGTCTGGCTCTTTCTTTCGCGCTCTCGCTCTCGCGCTCTCTTTCTCTCTCGCTCTCGCGCTCTCTTTCTCTCTCGCTCTCTCATTTCTTTTACCTACCTACCAATGTTATATATATTTAGTCTGTCTTGTCTTTTGTTTCTCATAGATCTGTACTCACTATTTTATAAAGGGGAATTTTTAAAATAAATGTTTTCTTTATACCCACAGCAGTTGACTTTAGTTTTATTACATTGAGTAGACAAAAGGACTACTGATTGAATTGGCTTCTGTAGTCAGCATATCATTTTTGCCCTTTTTTTTTTTTTTTTTTTTGGTTGCCCAGTGTTCTATATGGGTACATCCAACATGCCGTCTATCCTTACTGCTGGGGTGGACAGATAATATGGTTGTGGTATTCAGAAGCCGTTCTGTTCAATCTTGGAGTCAGCAGGCTTTATTTTTAGGAGCCGGCTCCATTGACAACAACTAGACAGAACCTAACTACCTAACGCTAACAGCGTGGATGATTGAATCTTTTGCTGTGTACAATGTATTCTGACAGCGGCACCATCCACTGTCAGAATACCCAAAGAGTGCTTGCAGCTGATTGGCTGCAAGCACTGTTCGGATGATGGTTTTCCAGCATGTCCCATCGGCAAAAGTCGATCTAATGATAGTCTTCTATAAGAGGGTAGGGCCACCCAGGGATCAATTGTCAACCAATTCCTGCTGAATCAGCTGAAATTGACTCCGTGTGTATCCAGGTTAAGGTTCCAGCTGTGATTTTTAAAGAGCATTGGCTACCTGGCCCCTGGGATTTCTCTAGCTCTGCCCTCATGTGTCCTGGCTGCTGTCTGAGCATGATATCCACTCTCTATATTTAAGTTTACATTTACAATAAACTATCCTCATTGTCCCCATTGTAGTCTTCTGGATATCACAGATGTTTTACACGCTGATGCTCGCAAGTAGTTGGTACTAAGTGACTTCACTCATAAGAAGTGCAATGGCAGTTTTATAAGACCGATGCCTGTATAGCTCAAACTATTATATTATCCGTCATGGGGGGTGCAAATATCTGAGTACATTTTGGCATCATCTCTTTATAGGGCCTGATGCAGGAAATGAACGAGCTGCGACATAGAGTGGTGGAAATGGAGAATGAAAGGACTCTATATGAGAAGAAGCTCAAATCCACCAAGGTGAGTGACTAACCTTGAATCCCCTATGTGTTCCTTGAAGAGAACCAGTCACCAGTGGGCTAATGCAAGACTTTGAATATTCCATGTTTAATTATTAGAACTTGCTTCTTTGTTCAGCTTTTCATACTTTGTCTTGGCCCTGAGTCAGAGCTGAGCGGGCCCCCTGACAGTGGCTAATGCTGATAACACACGCTGTGTCTCAGCTACTGATAGTGGATGACAGCATCATATAACAGACTTTTATAGTTGTTTGCATTACTGGACATTTACTTTAAATACGGTACTCTGTTATTTGATGGTGTCATGCACTTTTAGGAGCTTGGAGACAGCATGTGTTATCACCATCACCATTGTTAAGTCTTGCATCTATACTGCCACATGGCCCCAGATGCAGTTCTGCAGATTAAGAAAATGATCCATCTATCTATCTATCTATTTATCTCATTAGATTCAGTCTTATTGCAGGACACAGATGTTGATGTCAGATTTGTGTGTTGGTTTGCTTTTTCTCTCTTGCTCCGTTCTCTCTCATTACTTTCTCTGTCACCAGTCTTTAATGGCCAAGCTTTCTAGTATGAAAATCAAGGTGGGTCAGATGCACTATGAGAAGCAGCGGATGGAGCACAAGTCCCAGACCATAAAGGTGCCGTACCGCCGACGTTGCCTGCAGCCCATATTTCCTGCCTGATCGTTTTACCGGCTTGCGGTGTTTGCATCTGAGCATGTCTGCTGCTGTGGTGTTCTCGAACATGACAACCTCATATTCCTACGAGTCAGAACTTGTTTCTAGTCTATGACAGATTGGGGAAGTGTTCGAACCTCTTGTGATAAAAATCTCAACCTTGATGGATGTTATAGAAAAGTGTTAGTCTTGGGAAATGTTCTCTCTTCTCCTATTCTGGAAGTATTAAAGTGAATGTAAACGTTAAGAATGGCCTTCTCTTATCTGGTCCCTTTTTAGTCTGCTAAATAGAAGTGCAAAAAAACCCCAAACTGTTAAATCTGCCAGAAATAGTGCTGCCCTGTGTCAATGTTATCAGCCCTATCCACTTGTCAGCTACAGACCATCTCCCCCTATGCTATGGAAAGGAGGAGAAGGTAAGGTGTTCTGTAATCCTAAAACACCATGTACATTGAACTGAAATTCCAAACAATTTTTTGTTTGGAATTGTGCAGCTTACCGATGCGGCCGTTGTCACCCGATCATTAACTTGAACAGGTGACAGAGGCCGTATCTAATTCGGAGGTTTGGAATTCCTGCCGCAGGAATCCCAAATTGCACATTTACACATAGAAGGGAATTTATCAAAACTGGAGAGAATAAAATCTGGAGCAGCTGTGCATGGCAACCTATCCGCTCCTCTGTTTTTATTTTTAGATCTGAACTGAACAAACTGAAGAGAGAAGCTGATTGGTTGCTATGGGCAACTGCTCCAAATTTTGTCTGCTCCAGTTTTTTTATAATTCCCCCCACCCAGAGTGAATGAAGCCTCAGGCTGCAAAATCTGTTTTGTGGATACATTTTGCCACTTGATAAAGACTTTCCTCATTTGCTTTGCTAAGCGTTCCAGCCATCCAGGTCCAGATGCAGCCCTTTATCTTAAAAAAAACAAAAAAACAGCGAAGGAAATTCCCTCCAGGAAATGTTTTCATTTTGCAGGATTTGCCATTTTTTTGGTTTTTGTTTTTCTTTTCGCTATCTTTCAGCTTTTCATTGTTCTTTTGCACTTTAGCATAGCTTTCTCCCTGTGTAATACTTTTATAAACTGGAAAAGATTTCACAGCACATCACCAATCTTTATAAAGACATCCTGAGGATCTAAACCCATCTAGGCACTGGTTTGTGTTGCTTTTAGAAGCTGTAAACCCAAACTAGGTGACATAAAATCTTAAACTGTGGGCACAAAAACCTTAATTTAAATGTATTCCTCCATAGTAAAAAAGGATATACAGTAAATCCATGTGGTGTGCACCTAATGCCTTTGCAAATCCAGATGTTACTTTGTCACTGTTCTATTCATAGCCTGAGTAGAGCTGTGGGAGGGGCCCAGCAGGCTCCACCCACTATAGGCTACCTGCAGAAAACTACAGGAGGGGCAATATAAAACCAGTCACCCTGCACAAGGAGAGAGAAGCAGTGAGCGGTCTTTATTACAGGAAGCTCCAAGTTTTGCACAGATCTGGAAGAAATACACAAAGCTCACCAAGATTCAAGGAAGAATACACAGGACTCTTTAGACAATAGTTATTTCCCCCGGAGTTCAGCTTTAAGTTTGCTATGACACTATCATAAAAAACTGTCATGTTTAGCTACATAAGATACTTTTTTGTCCACACTCTTTGTTGCACTAGCACTGCTGATCTCTGGCCTTTTTCTCCCACTTCCTGTCTTCATGCACTCGCTCCACCATCCATCATTGCTGTGGGACACTGACAATGGTATAGGCCATGCCTGGGCAAAGTGTGTCTACCAGGAGAGCTTGTGCAAGGTGACGACGCAGGTTCACTGTTGGGAAACAGTTGTCACCCCATAACAGGAAGTGCCTGCACAAGGACCTTCATGGCAAGATCACCAGGAATTATTGTAACGAAAGCTGCACATTAAAAAGGATTGAAGGCAACTTTTGAAATAACATTACATTTTTTAACTTATGAGTTTTAAATGGCTAGATTTAGGTCTACGTTAAAAAAATGTTTTAAAGGATTGACTCCTCCCCTCCCTGGATCCCTCATGGTTACTGTTTTTTATGGCATGCTTGTTTGTTTGGTGTTTTGTGATTTTCTTTTTTTTTTTTAATCTTTTTTTTGGAATGTATACCCATCAACCCCTTTTAAAGTTTTACCCTTGGTGAACCATTTATGAACCAGAAAACCTGGGGAGGGCTGCTGAGGACCCTCTGGAACTACTGGGTCAACCCCATATTAAAGCCTCCCACCCCATCCAGTGAGAGTGCCATTGCTGATTGTTGTTGTTGTTGTTGTTGTTGTTATCATCATTATTGATCTCTATCCAGTGAGAGCGCCATTGTTGGCTAATTGTACCAGGACATGGTCCATGCAGAGGACTGCTGAAATAAGACACAAATCATTGCCCGATGTGTAAATACAGTTCTCTTCTTATACAGGATGAGCTCGAAATGTTGAAGGAAGAGCTGGAGATGAAGGAAGCCGACATAAGGAGGTTGCAAGAGAATGTGAACGCCCCCCTGGGGACAGAGAACAAAGGGACAAGTGACAGAGGTGAGGAGCTCTCTGCATGTCAAACTTCCTGCAGCCTCTCCGGATGGAGGAGCAGGAATTGCAGATCATTTGTTTTGTTTATCAGGGTTTTGTATTGCAGTAGTTATTTAACCACTTGAGAACCAGCCTGTGATACCCCTTCATCAGCAGGCTATTTTTAAGTGCCGCCACATCACTTCCACGGGTCGCTAAACAGGGTCCCCCGACAGCCCCACTTTGCTTCCCGGGCTCCGCTGCCCCTCCTGCAAGCCCGGCATCGTCATCACGGGTATCGGCGATCTCCTCCCTGCTAAATGGAGCCGGAAGCGACGCTGATTGCATCACTTCCAGATCCTTCGCTTCTTTGAAGTGGAAAGATGACACTAGGGGGTCTAATAGACCCTTAATGTCACCTTTAAGAGAACCTGTCACTACTAACATGCTATCACATAGGGGCCTCTGCTTTCAGGAAATATATCATTCTGGGGGTTTTAAGTAATTTTCTGGCCTGAAATGTGTTTTCTAACATGTTCAAAAGCCACCTCAGCAGCGAAAGTGTCAATGATAATAAAGGAAATTGAGAAAACCAAACTGCGCTAAAATTCCAGAAGTGAAGATGTGATTTGTTGCTCTACATTAGTCCAGTTGCTGCAGATTCACTATATTTCATAAATCCTTTGTCGTCTGACATTACATGTCGTGGCCCCCCCGTGCTCATAATCCTGATATCAGTGCTTGGAACATGTGACCCGCAGGAGACCCCCGGAGCTGTTCTATAAGTAAACACGACCTGTTTACTCTGGACGGGCCCCCCTCTGACTGCAGGCCAAGCATCACACGAACTGCTTTCTATACGTGTTGGAGGACAATGGGCCGCGTTTATGTGTGACCGCCGCCGGAGCCTGCCTGTCTCTGCGTCCGTCAGCTCAAAACAATATAGAGCCGTGGTGGAAACCCGCACTGAATTGAGAGGATGATACAATGTGTTTTCTTTGGCAAATGTAACACTGGAAAAAAAGCCCAAATTCAGACAGAACAGAAAAGGAAAATGTGAAAAATAAAACTTTCATTCTAGAACTGGATTTTACAAATGCCGTATGTGAATGGAACAGATCACCTCACAATTTGTCCATGACCTGAAATGTCTCTGTGACTGGACATTGAACATTAAAGGGTGATTCCACTTTCCCATGTGAATTTGGGGAAATGGAAACCCCCACGCAGTCAGGTGACCGAGCTGACAAAGTGCTTGCCATTTGTGAGCAGAATTTAAAATACAGATCGCAGGGCTGCGCTGATGTGTGCGGTGTATGGTTCCTACTCCGGCAGCCATGGTGGGGTAGGAGCATTCATTGATGGGTAAAGGCAGCAAGAGGTGGGGGGAGAGGGGGCAGATTGGTTGGGGTAATACTATTTTTCCAAATTCGCCTGGGAAAGATGGAATTACCTTTTTATAGAGGAACTTTACCCAGATCTTCAAAATAACAACAAAGACACCTTTAGAAATGTTTAGTAAAGGCAATCTACAAACACATACTTCTAGATAATTGTCGGCTTTTTATTCTTTGCATACCTTGTTTTTCTTTTCTTCCCCTGTCTTCTCACAGTGGCCATGTTTACTAAGGGCAGATTACTAGATCTCCTTTTACTTCCTGGAACTCTGGCACATGTGACTAGGACATGTGACCATGCACATCAATCTCAGGGGGAGGAAAATGCCTTTCCCTGAGATCTCATGAGATTACAGATGAGATTTCCCAGCAATGCATTGCTGACATAACCTTGCCAGGATGCAACACTTGGGCACATTACATAATTTGTGCCAAAGTGGACCAGGAAGTGGAAAAAAAGAAATTGTTGTTAGTAAAATTAAAATCTGTTTGTTTAGCTAATGAATGTGTAAGATGATTTCATATCAGCATGCAGAGCTGCATGCTGATGTGATTTTTTTAGTCAAAGGGGGTGAAGGTCTGCTTTGGGTAGTTTAGATTAAAGGCCATGTAGACCTTTTGGTCAATTGCAGCTTACCAGTCCTTAGAAGTGATGTGAACTTGTAACTTCCTGTTTCAGGTGACAACACTGGGCCTCTGCTGCACTGAATAGTGTTGTCAGCCGTGCCTGTTTCTCTCTTTATGGACTTTTTAAAATGTCTGGGCCAAGCTGGTTTCATGTTCTTGTTGTCTTTTCCGTTCTATTAGATATGGAAGTGCAGAAAATGAAGAAAGCTGTTGAGTCGCTGATGGCCGCTAATGAAGAGAAGGTAGGTGCTCCTTTTTGGTTTAGGTGACCCATACTGTAAAGAGAACCAGAGACGACTGGGCACATGTGACAATAGCCAGTATTACATTTATATTGATATCCATGCTCATTGTGTCACTTCCAGGTATTTATTACCTCCCACAGAGATCACAGAGTTCGCCCTGACAATGTCTTCATCTACTTCTCTCTCCAGAAAGATGGAGCCATCTTTGTTCAGGCATCATCCAGGAAAGGGGGTGGGCATCGTCTAGGAAAGGGGGTGGGCATCGTCTAGGAAAGGGGGTGGGCATCGTCTAGGAAAGGGGGTGGGCATCGTCTAGGAAAGGGGGTGGGCATCGTCTAGGAAAGGGGGTGGGCATCGTCTAGGAAAGGGGGTGGGCATCGTCTAGGAAAGGGGGTGGGCATCGTCTAGGAAAGGGGGTGGGCATCGTCTAGGAAAGGGGGTGGGCATCGTCTAGGAAAGGGGGTGGGCATCGTCTAGGAAAGGGGGTGGGCATCGTCTAGGAAAGGGGGTGGGCATCGTCTAGGAAAGGGGGTGGGCATCGTCTAGGAAAGGGGGTGGGCATCGTCTAGGAAAGGGGGTGGGCATCGTCTAGGAAAGGGGGTGGGCATCGTCTAGGAAAGGGGGTGGGCATCGTCTAGGAAAGGGGGTGGGCATCGTCTAGGAAAGGGGGTGGGCATCGTCTAGGAAAGGGGGTGGGCATCGTCTAGGAAAGGGGGTGGGCATCGTCTAGGAAAGGGGGTGGGCATCGTCTAGGAAAGGGGGTGGGCATCGTCTAGGAAAGGGGGTGGGCATCGTCCAGGAAAGGGCTTTAACTACAAATACCAACATGCAAGTCATTCCTGTAACTGTCAGTCTTGCAATGCCTCATGGGACTTGTAGTTTCATAACAGCTGGAGGGTTGGAGTTGTCTACCCCTCATCCAGGGTCACTATCTACTCCCTGGACTGAGATGCCAGCTCACAGATCAGAGTTGCGTAAATCCTGGTGTCTGTGCAGTTCTTGGCTGTGTTCACAAATGCCTAATACAGATCAGTCCCTGCTGCAGCCTCTCAGCTTGTGATTTGCTACACATTTACAATGTTGCAGTCGGATCACTGGGGGAGAGGAGACTGAGGAAATGCTTCCTCCTGCCTGCAGCAGACTGATTACATCATCTCAGCCTAGGCACAGTCACTGACTGAAGCTCAATGTTGGCTTTTTAATGATAAAAGGATTTCTTTCCTGAGAAGTTATACTGTCGCTGTGCATTGTAATATATCAATCTGAAACAAAAATATGGAAGCGCACCGCTGTGATATGATCAGATCGCTCGTTGGCTGTGTGGGAGCTGGTGTGCATAAACTCTTCAAAAAACCGGGAGAGGAGCCCCGTGTAGCATATTAATCAAAACACAGTATATAGGATTGAAGTGGTAAATGCGTGACTTACAGTTAGGATGTCATCGGTCGGCAACCGAAGTCCCTGCAGTCACGTAAGGGTAACGATACTGGTCCGTATGCTACTGGTCTGGAGTGTCCAGGTTATCCCCGGGTTATCCCCAGAAACCGTGTCATCGGCTGGCCATGCCGAGCCGCGGCAGCTGGATCAGGAAAAGAAAACCTTGCCCGGCAGTAAAAAACCGCACTGAAGAGTGTGTATCGGTGCGGTATACGGCGCGAACACTGGAGGGTCAAACGGATACAGTGTGTTAACTGTTAGTCACGCATTTACCACTTCAATCCTAATCATTCAGCCAGTTATACCCTGTTTCCCCGAAAATAAGACCTACCCTGAAAATAAGACCTAGTACTATTTTTGGGAACTGCTAAAATATAAGACCTACTCTGAAAATAAGACCTAGTTGTGACCATCCCGGGGCCGGTGGTGGCATACGGGGGAAATGGAAGAGCCGCAGGAGAGAATCAGTGGTGCCAACGAAGCCAGCCCTAGAGGAAGCAAGGTGGCATCGGAGGGAGCAGAGTCGCATAAGAAGATGCCTCCTCTATAGCGCCGGCTCCTGTCACAGGTGGAGTGATACCAAATGCACGCCGCTTGTGAGAAATCAATAGTGAAAGTGCACTTCGCTCATTCTGGCCAGCGATTGGTTAGCAAATTGCTCTTGGAAAGGTATGGCACCCCTGATTGCCCTGATCACCATATTTTTGTACATGAATACATGTAGACTTTTCTACATGAATAAGTGTGGATTGTTGTACATTAAAAAAAATTAAATAAGACCTTCCCCCGAAAATAAGACCTAGTGTGTTTTTTTTGAGCCAGAAGACATATAAGACAGTGTCTTATTTTCGGGGAAACACGGTAGCAGGCTGTACAGCATTTATCCATCCATCTATTTATTCAGTTATTGAGGTAGTTGCACTCTTCTATATACTGTATTGTAATATATCAGGAATTTATGTAATGTAGACTTCCAAACTGAAAGGTCCACGCTCCCACGCTGTTCTTTGGTGCTCCTATTCTCTCTCGGTGGCATGTGGGGGCAGCCAGTTGATAGTGTCGTAGCTTTCAGACTTGAGTTGAATTGTCTGTTTAAATAATGGGGTCATTGTGACTGGTTCTCTTTTAATGTCAGGGACAGCCCGGCCTGCAACACAACACACAAGAAAACACAGCAGTGTGATTTTGGGAAGGGGGAGGATGTGATTTTGGGAAGGATGTGATTTTGGGAATAGGGAGGATGTGATTTTGGGAAGGATGTGATTTTGGGAAGAGGGGAGGATGTGATTTTGGGAAGGATGTGATTTTGGGAATAGGGAGGATGTGATTTTGGGAAGGATGTGATTTTGGGAAGAGGGGAGGATGTGATTTTGGGAAGAGGGGAGGATGTGATTTTGGGAAGAGGGGAGGATGTGATTTTGGGAAGGGGGATGATGTGATTTTGGGAAGGGGGAGGATGTGATTTTGGGAAGGGGGAGGATGTGATTTTGGGAAGGAAGGATGTGATTTTGGGAAGGAGGAGGATGGGATTTTGGGAAGGGGGAGGATGGGATTAGGTGAACGTGGAAACTAAAGAACCTTTATTTACAGGACAAGAAGATTGAGGAACTCAGACAGGCTCTGAACAGGTACAAGAAAGTCCAGGACATGGTGGTCATGGCACAGGGTAAGAAAGGTATGTATTGGCATGGAATAATCCGCCAGAATAAAATCTCAACTCCAGGCAGATAGAGACACTGAAAGACACAAATACAGTCTTGTATTTCTGGATATATAATTAAGCAAGCAGTGTAAGTGCCTGAATTTGATTTGGTATTAGCATCTTGCCGTCTCTGTACAACAGAGCTCAGAAAGAGGGAGGGAGAAGCAGCCAATCAGTTGTGCTGCTGTGCAAAGAGCTTGTTGATGGGAGAAGAGAGCAGAGTGACAGATGAGCTCATTCGGCTGCTTTCACTGTCCAGTCGAAGGTCTGTCATTATGTTATGTCTTTTCCAATAATCCATTGAACAGACAGACTCAGACCGATGGGTGCAGTCTTCTAAGCCAGTTACTATACCACATTGTACATCGCTATCAGTTTCCATTACTAAACATGCTGACAGGAGGGAAAAGCAGAATTATGACTTTATCAGTGTCCTGCTGCTCCTTCATTGTCCAGTTAGCAGACTGGGGGCGGGCTGCTTACCTAGCTGTAGTTTAGTTGTTGTTTTTTTATTTTTTTATTATTGGAGTGGAGGGATCACTGGCTTAGCTATGCTGTCTGGCAGGGGTGCCTAGAACACAACACTGGCTGAGCAGAATTATTTTGACAGGCTAGCCAGTACCCCTTTGTGCATGTTAACTGTGTGTTCAGCTTGTGTGCCTGGAGTTCAGCTTCAAGGTTCAGACTGGGAAGCTCTTGCCCTTGTGCACCCCTCTGCCATTTATATAATGCAACACTCCTACAACCCTATTTACATGAAGTGTCCAGATAACATGACCCCATGGCATTCACCGCCGTGGATCTACTCTTGAGATGCAACATTTTATAAACAAGGTGGTAACAGTAAGGCACGCCGCTCTGCAGAATCTGGATCCTCGGTCTTGGATTTTGGATCTTGGATCCTGGGTTTTGGGTCTTGGGTTTTGGGTCTTGGGTTTTGGGTCCTGGGTCTTGGGTCCTGGGTCCTGGGTCCTGGGTCTTGGGTCCTGGGTCTTGGGTCCTGGGTCTTGGGTCCTGGGTCTTGGGTCCTGGGTCTTGGGTCCTGGGTCTTGGGTCCTGGGTCTTGGATCCTGGATTTAGTCCCATTTTCAGGCTGTTGCCTTGTGTTGGCCGGCCATTATTAACAAATGGCCTGCCTTAAGGCAACACACAATAACTTGCTGCAACGGCCTGTAGTAATGTAAATGAGTATTGCCATCTCTGCAACACATTGATATCTGTTTGCTAAGCCATCAAGCGGTTACTCTCATGCCATTAATGATCAAACATGCAGCTGCGTTATATCACTCATGGGGTGTCTCTGCCTGTAAAGTCGGGCCCCTGTACAGGCATTAAAAAAAATGACACCTTGGTGGTTCCTGAAACTTGATGCCTATTACCGTTTTTTTACCTGTGTTCTGATTTGTTCCTTATAATGAAACATAAATCTGAACGTCTTTTATTTTCTCGTCTTTTTTCACTTTTAACAGTGAAGGATGTGGAAAGTGACGATTCGGTGATCTCAGGCTCGAATTCTCTGGTGCTTGATGGCAATGCGTTCAGTGACATGGATAAGTCTCCGTCTCCTCCCCCTTTGTCGTTCACTCCGAGCCCGGAAGAAGTGCCTGCGAGCCCCAATGTAATGGCTTCTCATGTTGTATCATTTGTTCCATACATATAGATCATTTATAATATCTACCTAAAGTGTATGTCAAGTAACCGACTTCCTGCAGCATCTAATGCACATTATGAAAAGCTCACCGTGTGCAGTCAAATCAGAGTGAGAATGTCAGTATAGCAGAGGAGCCGGTACGCACTCATGCTATTGAGTTTTTAACATGTAGAGTGAAGTTGGAGCACTGGCAGGGAGATTATAGAGGTGGTGTCTCAGACCACCAGAGTCCACCTGAAACTGTCCCCTTTGGGTGTAATGACCCTTCCTGGGCAGGCTCTTGACCAGGGTGGGCAACTCTGGCCCTCCAGCTGTGCTTTAACTAAAAATCCCATCATGTATTTGCCACTGGGAGTCATGCCGTGCAATGCCTCATGGGACTTGTAGTTCCACAACAGCTGCATTCATTGCCCACCCCTGCTCTTGATGCTGCCTGATTTTTAACATATAAAATGACCGGTCAGGTTTGGATTGTCTTCATTTAGAATGCTCATATTTGTAATTGCCACTAGGGTTTGAAAATGATATAACTGCAACCTTGGCGAAGTGATTCTAATATACATTTCAATATTCTTATTTTCTTCTGCTTCCCGATAGCTGAATGTGGAAGTACATACAAGTGTCCTGCAAGTTTCCATCCCATCGTTTACAGCAGCCACAAATTTTCAAAAGCAAGCCGATGTCACGAAAACCGTTAAAAAGGAGGAACCCTCCTCTCCGGTCACGAGGTAAATATGTTACACCCTTTCTGGAAAAAAAAAAGACAATGGAGTAACATTCTTTGTTGTAATCCTACGTCTCCTTTTCAACATGGATTACGCTTGCCCGTTAATTTCCTATGCCCTAAAGAAGAACTCCAGGCAAATAAAATAATAACCCTTGTAGTGTTGGGGTAGCTCCACTGCAAAGGTTAAGTGCTCATTTTGTCTCGGGAGCTAAAATAACAGACGTACTGCTATTTGGAGATCTATACATATTTGCTATGGAGCCCCAGGATCTGTAGTTATGACTGGGGATGCACCGATATATCAGCCGAAAATGTCACTTTTGGCTTAATGCCGAAAGTGCCATTTTTCTGCCGATACATCGGCGCATCCCTGCTGTCCCAGGGGAGAGGAGAGAAAGTGTGACAGCCGGTCAGAGAGCGTCATACTGTGAGCGTCTGGCGTCTCTCCTCCCACACCGCTCAGCCTCCTATCACAGTCCGGCAGAGTGGTGTGGGGGCGGAGACAGCCCACGCTGTCACAGGAGGCTGAGCTCTCCTCCCTGCTCCGCTTGCTCAGCCACCTGTGACAGCGTGTCAGAGAGGAGAGCCAATGCAAACACTCAGTGATCGCTGAGTGTTTGAAGATAATTGAGGACATAGCATGTTGACTATAGCCTCAATTATGAATGAATGGGAAGTGATCTACATCACCTCCTGTTCATTCATAGTTGTGGTGTTAGTAAACAAACAATGTTCTCATGTTATCAATGAACAGAAACACTCATAGAGGATTCCTGTTCATTGATAACAGGGGCTGCAGAAAAAGAGATTGAGGACTCTGTGTCCTCAATCTCTTTTTCTATTTTAAAAGGGAAATATCAGGGCTCCTAAAAGTAAAGTCAAAAATAAAAATATTTCATAAAAAACAATTACTAAATAAAAATACATATAAAAAAATAAAAACGTTATAAAAAATAAAATATTTAAAAAAATTAAAATAAAAAATAATTTTCGGTTTCAGCCTGACAATTTTTTTTTATTTCGGTTTCGTTTCGGTTTCTAAAAGTAAAGTCAAAAATAAAAATATTTCATAAAAAACAATTACTAAATAAAAATACATATAAAAAAATAAAAACGTTATAAAAAATAAAATATTTAAAAAAATTAAAATAAAAAATAATTTTCGGTTTCAGCCTGACAATTTTTTTTTATTTCGGTTTCGTTTCGGTTTTGGAATTTCCATTTTGGTGCACCTCTAGTTATAACCCTGCATATATACACATATATATTTCAGCTGTGTGTCAAGCACTTTGTCTGGAGTTCTGCTTTAACGCTATTAACTTTAGACCATTGAATCTTGTTTTCCAGCGAGGGAAACACCAGCAGTCTATCCACTGAAGACGAATTGGAAAAGCCGCCTGTGTAAGTGTCAGATCTTCTGTCTCTGCTTTCCTTCCAGAATAACAAACACGTATCAAAACAAATGGGTACAAATGGAATAACCAGATATCCTTTACAAATGTCTGTATCCTCAAAGGGCCACCACCTCTATATAACACAATGACTATAAAACAATGTGAGGCTTTACATGTGGCACTGAGGATGATCGTCCAATACACTATACACAGAAGAGGTATGATGACAAAGGTTTACCAAACATGGATTGTATTGTTTATTTACATAACATGTTTAAAGCAATATTCTAGGTAGATTCAAATCCAAAGCTTGATAATGTATATATGTCACTTATCACCAGAAATGTACAAGTAGTCACCTACACACCAAGGTCCAACGTGTTAGTGCGCCTTTATTTAGACGCTGAGAATACATGGTGGCATTGTGGACAGCAACTTTTCAGAACCATTAGCGGACCCTTCATCAGACAAACATTATAACATTGTCACTATGTTTGCTAATGGTTCCGAAACGTTGCTGTTCACAGTGCTACCTTGTATTCTCCGCGTCTAAATAGAGGCGTACTAACGCGTTGGACATTGGTGTGCGGGTGACTACTGGTACATTTCGGGTGATAAGTGACATATATACATTATCAAGCTTTGGATTTGAATCTACGTATAATATGTAAAAAAAAACGTGTTAAGTAATTAAACAATAAAATCCATTTTTGGTAAACTAGCTGTGGTAGCTTTGTACCATTTTCTGTGGTTTTTGGTGCCATTACAGAACCATGGAGCAGGTGATGGTGGCTGGTTATGACTGCAGATGAGGATGTGAACAGAGCAATAGGGCAAAGTACTGAAAGCATCCCAGGGGCAGAATAGAGAGGGGGTGGCAGCTACAGTCATCCTGTAGCCTGCACAATAGGCGGGTTTGTGAACCCCTGGCTCCTGTTTCTGACAGTCAAGATGAAGGTGTTCCTGGTTTCTCTGGTGCCCTTTACCCTTCAACAACACCCAGAGTCAAATTCTGAAGCAAAGGGAGTGTAGGATCTGCTCCCTGCTTCATTTTAGGATCTGCTCCCTGCTTCATTTTAGGACTTTACAGGAGTGTGATTTTAGTCTTTCCATGTCAGTGGAGGTTGGAGAAGGATTTGTATAGATAGAAATTAACATTTTTGTGTGTTGTAGAGCCCAAGGAAATCTCACCGCTCCAATTCCTTAGCCGCCATCAGGACTCCCCAGGTGCTGGTCTAATATGCGCGTCTCCACCTTGGAATGTACCGATAGTAGTATACGAACAGATCGCACTATCCAGAGAATTCCAATACTTCAGACTTTATTAAAATTCACAGAAAATCCAGCATAACAGTGAATAAAAGTGTATAAAGCCACAAATACCAGCACTGTGCACCCCCTACCAGCTACAACCTCTCACATGTTTCATCCGTACGCTTATTCATAGAGGATATATTTATAACATATATATGTATAACATATTCACTGTTATACTGGATTTGCTGTGAATTTCAATAAAGTCTGAAGTATTGAAATTCTCTGGATAGTGCGATCTGTTCGTATACCACTACATTTTTGTGTGTTTCAACAGATCCTCTGAGACCTCCCCCACAGACCTCCCCCTAGGACCTTCCCCACGCACCTCCTCCTGAGACCTTCCCCACAGACCTCCTGAGACCTCCTCCACGGACCTTTCCCACAGACCTCCTCTGTGACCTTCCCCACGGACCTCCCCCTAGGACCTTCCCCCATAATTGGAGGAAGAGTCTATTTTCCCAAGAGAAGCTCACTTCCTGCCATTAACCAGGAAATATTTCACATACATGTGCAGGGAGACGCTCTGCTGATCTTGTCTCTGTTGGAAGTACAAAGTGTCCCTGTGACATGTGAGCTTCTTCTAGATGAGAGATAAACACCCAGCTGGTTCCCTCCGATAAACTATTGTCACCGCTCCTTGTAGGAAGGAATGGCGTGGGGCATCAGCCTTACGTAAGAGCATTGCCTCATTCTAGTATAACTAAACCAAAAGAAACTTGTAAGGAGTATTTAAAATCCCTGTCTGATTTTTTTGTTGATTGCATCGCTCTGGGGAGATGCAGCAAGAAATGAGAGGAAATCTCTCAAAAGTGAGGGGAATCCCCTTTAAGACCATTGTCACCAGAACAGGTGTCCACATGTAACCATAAAGTTTTTCTGAGCTTCTCTGAGCAATCCAGGCAGCTCATGGCTGGTGGGAGGGGCCAGCACAGTGTTATACATAGCTTCCTGAAAACATCAGAGCACCCTACCTCTGTACTTTTCTCAAGAGCCCTCAGACCTGGTGTGAGGCCTTGCATCCTTGCATGATCCAGTAGTCTGGATCGTGCAAGGATGCAAATTTCAAAATGCCTTGATGGTGGATGTCAGTCTTAAGGAGTTGGTACTGCTAGGAAGACTGCATTTGTATGCACTACCCCTGCCCTAGGTTACACCCACATATGATGCTGAGTCTGCCTGATTGAAATAACTCATCCTGTGAATGAAGGGGGTGGGTCAGGGACTTTCAGGTTGGGGAGCAAGGAGCTAGATGATGCTGGATGTCCTCAAGCCAGGAAATGGAGCGGGCTCTAACTGATTTCCTGCAACTTCTAATGCACATTTGAGAAGTTTACTACTAAGCACAAAGCTGATCCTACATGCAGTGAGCAACTATAGCTGCTCCCATATGGCTATATAATTACAAACTATTTATAGAAGAATCAGGACTGCTCTCCTGCCAGACAGGGCTGTGCTGTGTGGCAGAGCTGTGTATATCACAGGGCTGAATGTACAAAAATACAAATCCTTTGGCTGCATTTCTTTCAGGTCTCCTATACAGAAGTCAAGCAGTTTAGACAATCTGAAGAAGACGCCAGAAAAGGTGAGATTTGTTTAGTACAATGGGATTTGCACTGAGAGCCTCACGACTGTCTGCAGCAACCAATCAGATTAGACAGGAGCAGCTGATTGGTTATTAGGGGCAACAAAAGGCTTTCATTAAATGTTTTCCCTTGCAGTCCCCTCTTCTCCCGCCTCCCTCTCTCCTCTCTCTCTCTCTCGTCTTCTCTCTCTCTCTCTCTCTCTCTCCCCCCCTTCTCTCTCTCTCTTCCTCCCCTCCTCTCTCTCTCTCTGCCTCTCTCTCTGTCTCCCTTTCCTCCTCTCAATATTATATACAAGTTGGCACATGTACCTGAATATGTGATGTGTAATGTAGAGAGAAGACCCCTCTCTGTGTCCTCCATACACAGAATGAGAATGACTGAAACTGCTATTCACACCGACCTCCATACTGTTGTATTTTAATTCATCATATTGCCTCTATTAGAAGCCAACTTCTTCAGATTCCGGAAAGTTTGAAACCCTCCCGCCGAGACCCCCTGGACACAGCACCGGAGGGGAAGAGGAGGTATTTGGCACCCGTAAAGCCAGATCGTCGTTCGGCCGCGGGTTTTTCAAACTGAAAACCAACGCGAAGAAAACCGCCAGCACGCCGAATCTAGGTAGGCAACTAATTGTGCTCTCTAACTGCTGACAGGGATTGTCATTGACTGGGACTTGTAGTTCTTCAGAATTGTCACAGTGGATGGGCCACAAAACAAACCAGTGAGTACAATGACACGCCACCTCGCCATCATCTGGGTTGGTTTTCGTAGAAAACGCCGGCACTGTCTAATTTCATGAGAGCAGAGAATTGCCTTTGTACTAAAAATGTTCAATGCTGTGACAGGATGTTTATATATTCTGACATCGAACCTCTAATTACACTCCAGAGCTGGTTCATCCCACACAGCCACCCAGTGTAGACTCTGCATGGAATCTATAATGTGTTCTAGCGAGGACATACTTTGTCATTGTAACAATGTCTATGCGGCTTCAGGATATTTCCATGCTTGCTGTACCATATTCCCTTTCCCATATAACGTATGAGCTACATTCACACCTTTGCATCTCCTATAGCACACATTTTACACGAGTTCCCATCATTTCCTATAGATTGCATTTTGAATTACACTACGGATGCCATATTTTGTTGCAGTTCACACATCTCCCTGCAAAGCTAAGGGTTAATACCTACCCATTCCCCCACCAGCGCCTCCAATCTCCGCTGTCTTCAATGGCTAAACAGGATGATAAACCTGCAGCATCTGACACTTCCAGGAGTGTTGGGTGTCTGATCTCCCTCTGCAGTTAGTGGTTTGTCCACGGGTCACTACAGGACACAACATTGACAAAGGGGCTGGCGGAAGGAACCACAGCACCCAGGGGAGGACCAACCATCGGACAATCCCCAAACTGTGCTGGGTGCATCAGATTTTTTCAGCCAGTGTATTTTCAGCCAGCGTATTGTCAGTGTATTGACAGTGGAGACTGGTAATGATTAACCCTTTCTTTACTGGCAAACTTTAGCTAAAAACAAAATTAATAAGACCCCACGAGATTTTTTTTTTTTTTTTAATGACCTGTAAGCCACTCTGTCATTTGTAGGGAATTATGTAGTGAGTTTGGTATATCTTTATGATTTAATGGTATCCTACTTTTAAGAAGGACCCCCCTATCTTAAAAACGTTCACTACATCACAAAACCATGTGGAGAATTTATCAAAACTGGAGCAGACAAAATCTGGAGCAGCTGGGCATGGCAAGCAATCGGCTTCTCTTTTCTCTCATTTTCAAATCTTAAAGTAGAACGATGAGGTGACTGTAAATCACTCATCCTCATAGTTCGAGCCGACGTGCGACAATGAAACTGTCACACGTCGGCTCAATAGATCGGGAAGTGAGCGAGCGACGGTATGTGTTCGCTCACTTCCGCTCGATCACGTCCCTGCAGAGAGTAGTGGCTGTCACTCACTGCTCCCTGCAGGGATTCCCCCCTCCTCTGTCCAATCCGCCAGCGCTGACTGGCGGAACGGACGGGGGAGGGGGCGGGTACAGCTGGCTCTGCCTCTAGATAGGCAGAGCCAGCTGTCACTCACGCAGCTAGGTGGATCTCGACAGTGATGTCGGGATCTGTCCAGGCTGCGGCTGTCTCAGCATACAGCGAGCTGTAGCTCACGATATACTGAGCTTTGGGTCACGGGAGAATGCTAGTTTGTGTCCCCCCGTGACCCTTAGGAGAACTATGGGGAAAAATACTTACCCATAGTTTTCCTTTAACTATACAAACTGGAGAGAGAAGCTGATTGGTTGCCATGGGCAACTGCTCCAGATTTGGTCTGTTCCAGTTTTGATAAATTCCCCCCTCTATGTTTTCAATATCTTACAATTTTGATTAAAAAGCAGCTATAGAATGAAAATAGAAAAGCCTGTCTCCAGCCAGATGAAGAATAGAAACACAACGCACAGCTTACCCCGTCATGCATCCTTGTAATCCACATTCAGTGCACGGATAACCCTCTTCTGGAGTAATTATCTTAAAAATGGCAAAACCAGCACACGAGGCTCTTCCAAAGAAAATCAAATGTTATTCCACACTCATCTGTACAAAAAAAGAACTGCTGGAGAGTTGCTGCCTTAGTCGTAGCTGCCATGTCAATCATGTTAGTCATGACTAAGGCCTAGTAAGGCAGAAACGTGTCAGAGTTTTTTGTTTTTTTTTAGTACAGATGCATGTGGAAAAAATGTTTACATTTTCTTTGGAAGAGCATGTGACCGAGTAGGTTTCCTGGGGACTACTGGGACCATACTTGGTGTCTCTGCAGAAGTCTGAAATCGGAGTCAGAGCTAGTGCTCTCCATTCAGTAAAGCTCAAGCTCACTGCTGATTGGAGAGCTCTAGCTGTGGCTCATCAGGTGGTAAGGTGTCAGACCTCTGTTTCCACAAGGGTCCCTCTCTGCAGCATGTTGGCAAGGGATGGGTTTTTCTACTCCAGTCTGTGGGTGCTTTCTAAAGAAAACAAACTTTACACACCTTTTGTTTTTGATGTACCTGCAATGTATTTAGTGGATTTATACTTGGAGTTCAATTAAGCTTTTAAAAAAAAAAATACAGGAAACTCCCTTAAAATGGACGCAAACTGGAAACACAACGTAGAACAATGTAAAACACACTGCTTTAATTGTCAAATCTATGTGTGAATGTCTCTGTATGCTGTCACAAGGACATTTCTATGGCTTTTTAAGTCGTATAGGTTGGATCGGGCTGTGTTCTTGTGTTTCTGTTAGATTACCCGTCTCCTCCTGTATTTCTTTCTCAGGGCCTCCTGTAGTGGAAAAACTGTCTGATTTACCCCAAACCCCACTTTTCATTGTCCTTGGACATCCTAGCATAGGAGTGGAAATCTTGTATGTGTCTGTGTCTCTTGCTCCCCCTACTGTTCTCTTTCAGTATTTCTAAACATCTCTCTGCATACTCTCTTCCTCTGGGCTGCGTACAATCTTGTGCACTTAACGGAATTCTGAAGATCGCAGCCGGAGTGCCAGCGCCCCCACCTTAGGTATAGTAAAACTGCATGTCTCCAAAAAAAAAAGAAAACCCTCCGTGCTGTGTTCCCATAATCCCCTAACCCTTACGTTTTGCCGCCTAGCTAAACCCAACTAGAATATCAATCCGTGGATAAATTGTAACTTTTTGTTTTATTTTTTTACCACATCTACTCCATCACTAATTTGTGTGTTTGAAGCCTTTAGCTAATCTTGACATTCATAGTTCCCGGTACTCTTACATGCCAAGCCGCCCAGCTAATCTAGCGCCATCTTGTGTCCAATGTGAGAATTTACCGAGCTGTGGTGGTTTTTAAATATTTGTTGCTTTTAAAGTGTATTTCCACCCAAATTGGGATAACACCTAATTTATATTTGTTACATGTTCTCATTCACATTGCATAAATAGAAAAAGAAATGCTGCTTACCATTGACAAGTTTTCTCTAAAGTGAATTTTCCTCTGGAATAGAAGAGGTATGGGGAGGTTACCATTATTAACCCTGTCTGTACTGTGTGGGCAGATCTCATTACCTAACAAAAAGGGTAAAAGATCTAGAAACATTGGGGGGAATTTATCAAAACTGGAGCAGACAGAAAATGGAGCAGTTGCAACCAATCTAGGGATGCACCGATACTAGTATCGGTGCCGTTACCGAGTACTTGGGCGAGTGCTCTGATACCTTCCCCTATACCGGAACTTCTGGTCAGAAGAAGGGAACATGGAGCCAGCTTCCAGTGCGATCAGGAAGCTGGGAGGCGAATAATGACCCACCTCCCAGCTTCCTGATTGGCTGGGAAGCCGGCTCCTTGCTGATTGACGGGGAAGCCGGATTTCCAGCCAATCAGCGTCGAGCCGGCTTCCTGGCCAATCAGCAAGCTGGGAGGCGGGTCATTACTCATCAGATTGCCTGGGAAGCTGTCTCCATGTCAGCAGAAGCACCTGTATCGGTACTCGACGAGTACCAAAAGCAAAGTACCAGTATTTGTGCTCGATACCGGAAAACCTGTATCGATGTATCCCTACCAATCAGCTTTTCTCGAGTTTGTTCAGTTAAGATTTGAAAATGAAAGAGAGAAGCTGATTGGTTGGTTGCCATGCACAGCTGCTCCAGATTTTGTCTGCTCCAGTTTTGGTAAATCCCGCTAATTGTATGTTAATGAGAGGAAGCTCAGTCTGTCCCTGGTCTTTCTATGGGGACAGGCAGAGTTGCCTTTCATTTGGAAATTGTTCAGAGAAGCTTGTAGTCTGTCTAATGGCCTGCTCAACATAGACAAAGGTAAGAAATATTTTTTTTTTAAATGATTTTTCGTTATGCTTTGTGAATGGGAACACATAACAAGTGTATAGTTGTGTTTCTTCAAATGTTCATAGTGGAACTACACTTTAAGGGCGGTTCCACCAAAAGCTGATGCTCTATTTTTTGTGTGGTCGCTGGCAAGATACATTTGTGCAGATTTAGTCTCTTGGAGAATCCAACAATTGGACATCCTCACCTGAATTTCTAGTGTGTTTTATGCTCCCCTCTTGGGCACTCCACAATGTAGAATTAATTCATAATTCGGAAGTCAAGCGTGTGGCACCCTCCTGGTCTCTTTGAAGAGTGTCACAATGCAAACTTCTATTCAGGAAGCTTGCCATTGCAGTCTCCTAGAGCCTTACAGTGGATCTATGGGCAAAATAAAAAATGGCATATACCGTATGATGCAGTCTGTCAATTGCATCAAAATATCCATTAAAACATTTCTGAGCCCCC